TCTTGAGGGCTTGGTGTATGTGCTCCAGTTCATTGAGGGCTTGGTGTACGTGCTCCAGTTCTTGTTATTTTATTATTTATTTGAAACAATACGCTTGAGTAGTCGGCCCCCTTGCTGCTGCAATTTACACTGCTCCCAAGACAACGATGAGTCATCATCACCCCCTATGTCGCTACGAACATCTGGTCCCACAATTCTTCTCCGTTCAAATATCCCACAATTTAACCGTCCTAATGCACATTTATAGCGGCACTCACTGCCGCCCCACTGCTGTAGCTTTGACAGCATTGTTATGTCTAACAACCTTCCCTAAATTTTGATTTAAAGCTTTCGTGACTGCAGTAATTCATATTCTTAGCTCTTTCGGTAAAGTCACGTTGAAGGGAAACAATAAAATAATAAAATATATATTAAACAATAAAAATTCTCACGACGTTTCGACCATAACACAAACGGTCGTCATCAGGTGTGTCGGTTTGCATAAATTTATTTATTTTTAAACGGTGTATTTATTTATATAAAAAAAGTCAGCGCCACGCGCAGCGATTTGGCAGTTTATTTAGAAGGACTAGTCCATCTATGTTCTGAAAAGAGGAGGGGGGAGACGAAAAATTAATGTATGCTGTCTGAAAGCCACTGTAAGCGTGAACAATCAATTAAGACCTGAAATGGTTTATCAAATCTTTCCAATGATTGCTAAGCCAGAATCCATCTTCTCGGTTGAAATTGTCTCTGTGCTTGTATATGTGGATAGCCTCATGAACGAATCTCTCATGGTAGCCAGATGGCTTACAAAGAACCTCTGTCTTGGAAAAGTCAATGTCATCTGAGCCTACTGAATTATAACAATGGTCTGCCACAGCCGAAGTGTTGGTCCTACCGAGTTTAAGGTCTGCTTTGTGTTCACGAATGTGGTCCGAGACATGGCGTTTGGTTTCTCCAATGTAACTACTACCACAGAGGCAACTTAGTTTGTAGACACCAGGGTACTGTATGTCCGGAATCACATCTTTTACAGATGGAACCAGATCACGGATTTTATGTAATGTGTTGAAACGGACCTGGATCTTGTGTTTATTCAAGATTTTGGAGATCTTTTTTGTGATCCCCGCAATGTAGGGTAAAGTGATGGTTTTGAAAGGCTCCTCAAGAGGGTCCTTCTTCATGGTTTGAGTGATAGCTTTGCGGATTGTATAGTCGGAGTAACCATTAGCCTTAAGAGCTTGGTGTACGTGCTTGAGTTCACTGCCTATGTGTTCCTGGTCGGATATGCATTGGGCTCTATGATACAGAGTCTTGATGAGAGAATTCTTCTGTGATGGATGGTGGTGGGAATCCGGTTTCAGATAAGCATCCGTATGGGTAGCTTTCCTGTAGACAGAGTGGCTCATTGAACCATCAGGTCTCTTTTTAAATAGGACATCCAAAAAAGGTAGCTTGCCATCTTTTTCGACTTCCATGGTAAATCTGATGGCTGGGTGTATGGAATTGATGTGGTCGAAGAATTGGTCTAGAGCAGGCCGGCCATGTACTATAAACTTAAATTCTTGCAGTCTCTCAATCCAATGGGCCAATTGGCCAGATATTTGGTCCATCGTTCGGGCATATTGTAAGGCCGCATGGTCTATATGCACAATAAGCGACCTCCCGTATAAGTAAGGTCTAAACACTGTCACAAAATTCATGAATAGAAAAAGTTCCTGGTGAGTCATGCAATGTTTGTTCTCCGTGTTTGACAATGCTCTGCTACCATATACAACCACAAACTTCCAACAACACTGCCCCTATTCGTTTATCACTTAAATCCGTGTCCAGAATAACTATTTGTTTAAATCAGGGGAATGCAAATATAGGTGCCCAAATGTGCCACTGTTTACCATCTGCTCCCCATTCTCCCACTTGAATTTACAGTTTTTTGCAGCCAAAACATGACATGGTCGTGCAATCGAGGAAAATGTCAGCACACATTGTATGTACTTGGATGCCATACCTATAAATTGTCAAACCTCCATAGATTATTTTGGTACTTTAATTTTGATGGCTGCTTATTTAAGGTGCTGAAAAACCAATGTCAACCTGCTTAGGACCTAGTTCCTCAAGTGCTGCTAAACACGACATCGTCCAAATTGATTAAAAACGTCTCCCACTACAAGTCCATCAAAACCAACTCCATTAAGCTCCGAAAAGTAGCCGTGCCAAATTCAGGCCCATTGCCAAAACATTAAATTCAAACACTCCAGCTAGTGTCATAAATGCCATGTTTGTACTTTGTTAATAGAAAGCCAACTGTAAATATCCTGATAACAAATCGAGTGAGGTAAAATATCTGGCTCCAGCCAGCGCATCAAGCGATCATGGGCAACACATATGCATCCCCTGTCACCTAATTAACGTCTGATAGTCAATGCAAAACTTAGTGGAGCCTTTTTTTACGAGAATAACTGGGGTCCCCCACGGACTTGTGGATGGGGAAATAATATCTGCCTGTACACCTCCTTCATCACATTGCAAAATGTTTCCTTTTTAAGTACGGCTGTCCTGTATGCCTTCTGGCGTACCGGCCTTACAGCACCTGTATCATGCGTAATTAACTGTGTCCTATCTAAATAAAATGTTGTCTGCCTTAACACATCCTGATTCTCTTCCAAGTCTCGTAATTAACGATTCTGAACATCTGTGATCCCCTCCCTGGGCATTCATTAATGTATTCCTCCAGTTATTTCCTTAACCTTGCTTTTGCACATTAACCGAGCATTAACATCTCCCGACATATCATTCACATCCAATAAACAAACTCTTGCAAAAATTTACTCAGGCCCAATCCAATTCCAGAAATCACATAAATTCCATGAGAACATAGGGGTGATCGAGACTACCCATAAGTTTGCCATTACTCACGTCCACACAAAGTCAAATACCCCACCATAGAGCCTTCAACAGACTGTTGGGGCAAGTGCCATTAGCGAACACCTATGAAGGCCGGCATGGTGATGACGGGTGGGTGGTCAGCACCATACTCGGCTATCCTTGGCTCCCGAGTGGCGATGTTTACACATCACACCAGGTACTCAGTTGAGGCTGAGTCGATTTAGGGGAGGCCTAGGACTGGCCTAATCATCACTTGTATTGGCTGTGAGAATCGAACTCAGGTCACCGAGTAAGCACAGTGCACTAACCATTGCATTACCACTCCTCAAGACACGCTCACAACCTCTCTCTTGGCTATCCATCGAACACGATTATGATTGCTCCTCTTGCGTATGGGGGGTAGGGATGGGTTAGCGCTTTTCGCCCTCGTGCCACTTCATGTGGCTGTGGAGGCCGATGCGAGAGCCGCACGCTCTGCTGCAGATGGGACACGTGTGTTGGGTGTCGGATGGCGTTATCCCAGCTACGCGTTGGTGTCTCTGGGTGCGTCTCTCGCATCTCCTCTGTGAGATGGAGTCTTCCAGGTACTGAACCCCTCTGGCACAGGTGGACCGCCAAGTGGACCTGTCCAACGCCAGGGGTTCTAGGCTGGAGGGATTGATGTTACAGCGCTTCACCAGGTCCTTGCTGTGGTCTTAAAAGTGCTTTTTCTATCCTCCAGTGGAGCGTTTGGCTGCGCTGAGTTGGCCACACAAAACACTCTCACAAACCTAGCACGTAGACATCCCCATGCAAAATAACACTAAAACCATTACGTACACTCACACACCTCGCACAAATAAATGCACACAATTAACACTCCAATTACTTTAAAAAGCATGTGTAAGATAAACTTATACTCTTTGGGTCTTTTGGTAAAGCAGAATTCCTGCAGTCACGAAAGCTTTAAGTCAAGATAAACGTACCTCAGCTACAGACTGATTGAATGAAGAGCGATGATTTTTACAGCATCTATCTTGATTTGAGGCTTTCGTGACTGCAGGAATCCATACTCTTTGGTTTTTTCGGTAAAGTTACGTAAGTATAGCATCTGTTGCATCAAGATTGTCTTCATGACAGCTGATTGGCTGGTGTAACGGGTGCGATGATGTCATCCCTAGCAATCACTGCAGCGAGCCAATTTCCGCAATCTTGCTAGGACGTGCAGTGGTATTCTGCGTTTTCCACAACGCCGTTTCGGAGCATACGAAACTCACTGCCTGGAGGATTCTGTGGATATCTTGCATACCCGTTTCCCAGGTCACTCAACCCTCTATTTGACATTCAATCTCTCTTTATATAGTCCCCAAGTACGAAATCCCACTAGATCCTAAAATGTATAACCTCGCAAGGGCAGAGTCTCTGTTTCCCACCATTCGCTGTCTTCTTCCCAATTGGTTCTCCTATGATCCGACCCCGGCAGATTTTCCAAGATTGGCTCCCTCTTGATGTGACTCCTTCTCCCCAGTGTAAGATGAACTCATGGTTCACTACATCCCACCACTTCATTATCACCAACATCAATGACATCGGCCTTCAAGCCCCTCAATCGCAGTCGCTACACTATGGGTTATACAGTAATCAGTTTAAAATAGCAGTTGGGCAGAACTTTCAGAGGTGGAAGTACTGAGATATGAAAATTTGTCTTTAGCTATGTTCTGAATTAAGTGGCATCATAAGACAGGACTAATTGAGAAACGTTGAACAGGACATTTTGCAAAAACAAATTCTAGAGCTGGAGAAGTAGTCATAGAAGAGATTGACAAAAATATATAAAATAGCTGAATCGGTTAAACAAAATATTTAATTGTACTTGATAAAAAAAACGAGTCTGGTTTAATCAGGCATGGGTTGTAGTGATACGATCATAAAACGAGATGTTAGAAAATTGTCGAAGCACATCTTAGAAATCAGGTTATGCAACAGCTGGAGAATCTGGCAGGTCAAAGGAGGCGGAAATATGGAAATGTGTGGCAGCATTGCCATTGACTAGGACTTGTTGACCTTGATCTTTATTGCATAATGAAACAAACTTCAACATTTAATTTACCATGAAGAGGGTTATAGGTAAAAAACAACACTTCAACTTCACACTATTTTGAAGCATTTATTACCACCGTACAATACACCACACAACCCATGTCCATACACTTTCACAATGTGGAGAACGTGCAGGCTCTGGAAAAATAAAATCTAGGGAACATTTTTTTTTAAATCTACAGTTACATTTATTCTGCCAAAAATGTTTTTTAGAAAGGGGCTCTGGAAACAATATCATCGTATTTCAATGTGTAAGTAAATATCTTTGTTATCACATAGCATCAGATGTTGTGCCAACGGTCTTTTTATCCACCACCGATCACAATAAAGTAAGAAAGAATTTACAACGGGTATAAATATATTGTGTGCTTTATAGTCTAAAACAGCTGTAATTTGAGTCAGAATATGAAACTGTGTTTTGGTTTAACAGAAACTATCAACAAGTTGTACAAATATGTACAAAAACACTTATTAATATTCATACAATTTTCAAAATTCATATTTGGCAGTTTAAAAGAATGGGAAAATAATTTCACCTAGTAAGAATGTTTCTGTTTGGCAATTAAATGAAGGCAAATAAAGACTTAAAACTTAAATATCTTGCTGGCTTGCACGTGTAAATCTAAAAATTATCTAAACGTAGAACTCCACAAGGCACGTAACATAACAGTATTAAACCCTTAACATGTTACTCACAGCATCTGCCGAAGGTTAAATTTTGTTTTAAAACAAAAACTATATAACATAAGCTGACAACTAAAGTACCAGCGCTTTGGTTAGCAAACTTGTACTTGGGTATTTCTAAACGATGCTGAAGGCGTCGGGCAACCCTGGATACTACCCAGCCCTAACTTAACTTAAAAACAGAGATGGCATTTCCATCCAGAGGTCATACAAAAAAAATGTGCCACCTGTAAGAAAAACATTCCTCAAATGCGGTGTTGTGGAATATTACTTTCCATTGGGTCTGTTTGTGCAATGGTTAGAAAATGACGTAGCACATTTCCGAGGTGTACGCTTATAGTATATACGAAAATGTGTTTCCTTAGTGTTCCAAGGTTTACGTTTCATACAAATTGAGATGACTCAGCACTGTAAACAAGATATTAAAAAAATGCCTCCAGCTTGAGTACAGTACTGCAACTGTTCCTTACCATGCGTTGCCATACAAAGTCCTAGGCTAATGAATCCGACACGACTGTGCTGTGCTGACATGATTCACGTTGAATGGCAAACACTACTGTATATGCACCAGCAGTTGCATATCCTAATTATGGTCATGTAGGAGCGCCTACAGATTCACAGATTACAGAAACATATTCAACCTTTGCAGTTGTACAATCATGGAGTAGGTTGAGAGCTGTCTTTTAGTTTGCTACGGTTGAAATTTGATCGAAGTTCCTGACCAGTTGTGTAAGATTCTTGCTTTCCAATGCTTTACCAAAGGCTTAAAAAGTATAGCGGGTGTCGTTTACACAATCGTAAGTAGCAATTTTAAAGAAATATCTAATGAAAACACATGACCATACCATCAGACAATCAATGCATGAGCGTCAGAAAACGTGTTCTACAAACCGCGGGTTTCCCTGAACTGAAAAAACCCAAGAGCTGCAGTTGTTGACGAAGGAACACCATTAATGAACAACCAATTACACAGAATATGAACTTGTTAGAAGACCAAATTAGTAATTCTCAAAATAACAATGTTAGGGTCTTTAAACTTTAACAACCAAACACAACAGCGAGACCGTATTCAATCTTACCAGTTGGACCACAATATAATATCAAACCTTACATAAGGACTATTCAATGTATTCTCTCTAAACACCTATCACAATATGCATTACAAAATATGTATTGAAGACCTGTTACAATTATCATCATTGATTTATTATGAAAGTGTTTCATGATAAAACATGTATCTATAGTTGTATTCCATGTACACACCATCTCACGTGGATTAACATTTTCCCAACAATTATAATTCTTGTAGAACATTTAAATATCCATAACTTCACAGTGTGCCATCAGATTTACTCTAATATTTAACAATGCCATATTTACCAAGATGCACATAAATTGTATAATTTTAGTAATGTTAAGGAAAATAAATAGCAACCAAAAGATTTTACTCAAACAAATATCTTAAAAAGTTTCAAAGTAAAAAAACTGATTTAATCATGTGATATTCTTGAGACAGTGACTGCTGAACCAGAGCTATTAAGGGTAATTAATTATGTTGTCTCAAAACTGGGGAAATTCTGCTGCAATGGGACTTCAAATATTGTTGGCACAACCTCATCTCATGACATGCTTCTGTGTAAGCACAAGCATTGCATAGAGAAAGGCAAGAACTTGCTTTCACACATTGCACTGAAAAACTTTTCAGAATTTTTATCAGATGAGATTTTAGAATGCAATCATTATTTTTGTTCCTTAAACTGACATTAATCAATGGGAAATGGTATTATGTAATAAATGCACATAATTAAATAAATGAACTTTCTACACATATGTGCACGTTACACTCCGGCAATGAGATTCAATTGTCAGGGTCTGCCTGAAAAGGGTTAAATAAAAGTTAACGTTTAAAGAAATAGGGTAGTTGATTGCTTACGTCCTTTGAACTGATAAAGTTTGTTTCAGGAGAATTATAACGTATTTTTCACATTTTTATAACACAAAAGATTGAAATGAAAAGAACTATACATTAAGTTGTACTGGATTTATGGGACATATGCTGCACTCTACAATAAATTTAGCATATGCATGATGTGAATGAAAACAAGATTTTATATCTATGCAGGTTATATTTTTTTAAAAATCCTATATGGACTTTTTAATAAAAACATGTTTTTTATCAAAAAAACTCGTTAACTTATAAGATTTAGACAACTATATATGAAAATGGAACCATGCAGCAGTGTCAAGCTTCCTACCTGACTAACCTACCCTAGATCAAAGACCTGGGACGAAGGTCTTGCTTGCCCATGCTTTAATCAGAGGCTGGCAAGTGGTCGAGACAATGCACATTCATGATGAAGTTATGATGAGCAAACTGCGATGTCACTGATGACAATCATGCCCATACCCATGGTTGTGTTGTATTCAGCTGTCCTGTTAGTTTGTCCATGTCCACATCATAAAACTCATCCCTTTAGTAGGTTTTATTACAATACGCCGACTCTTCACAGAAATGGGTCAGTCAATGTAAGCATTTGTATGTGTATTGTTGATGGTTTCAGTACACTCTACTTTACTTTACGTATCGTATGCCTTCCTTGAAACTCAGTCAATGGACACTTTGACCAAAACAAATCCTTTCACCAAGCTATACTGAAAATGTCAATATTTAATAAAGATCTCTCGTTTCATTATTTATTTTTGATGAAATTAGAAAATGTTATCTTTTGTATTGGTCCAGTTCAGTATAAAGTTGTACTCTATGGCAGCTGTAGAAAGGCAAAGGAATGATAGCGTTACCACCTGCATCACATTACACACGTTCAAGGCTCATGACTAAATGTCAACTCGGCTCTCATCTGTCTATTGTGAATACAGTACAGTGCATATAAATGTGCAAACATACAGTTTGTCTTTTTGACATACATTTATATGAGGATATTGTTTCATCATGGCTCGGGGTCAGATCACTCATATACATGTAATGTGATTTGCAATCATGCAAAATTACACTTGCAGGTTGGAATTTGGAACTAATTGTGGAATGGAACAAATGAGCATTCAACCACAAATTAAGTTCAAAGAAGAATCCAAAAAAACTCAAACTTAAGTTAGAATAAAACACATCTGAAAATATTAGAAACTTAAATATATTTTGGTAGAATGTTATTTTGGAATATTACAATGGGAATTGGAAAATATACACTCCAAAAATCCACATCAAACTGGAAATTAAACTGGGTTTCTAACCTCTCCGAACATCAAGGTAGCAGGACTACGTTTCCTATAAATGGGTGTAGTTGGTTAAAAAAAATGAATATACTGTAGTTAACAAGCTGGTAACCCAGTTTATGAAGGCTCTATTTTTTTTAAATATAATTATTTAAAGCATATCGTTCTGATTCCTAAGAATCAGAAGGGAATTCCAAGCAATCAAAAGCAAACCATAGTCTCAAGTTGGTCACCAGGTTTCAGTGTTCAGGTTTCTTATGTTGGGTGTGGCATGGCAACTGCTAATTTCAAAAGTTTTTTTTCCAATTGTATCCTAATTATGCTATCAGTATCATGTCAATGGTATACAAAGTATCCATTTGAATCTCTCACACAACAGTGCAACCCTTTATGGTATAGAAGGGTCCAGAGCAGCAGGTAACCGGAGCTACATCTGAATACCCTTCCAAGTAACCTGGTCCACACAGCAGCAGACAGCACTTTCCCACCCACTGTCACACAAGAGTAATTAATATTCGTTGCGTAACAGTCACACCGTTTTTTAAAATTTCAGAGCTGTAATGTATCTAAATTAAGTCAATAACCTAATTTAATTTGATGGTAGTTTTTAGTAGTCATTTGTCTGATAGCATTAACGAATTGCACCTGAGAACCCAGATTAAATACAGGTGGTTATCAGAACCTCAGCAGAACCCAGGCCTCTGAACTACCCAGCCTACCTCAAACGATGCTAAACTTTAATCGCCATGTCCCAAACCTCACATCCTTTCCAATAAAATACTACACATGCTTATATACTTAATCATCTTATTTCAATAGCGATGACATGTATCATACTTCTCCAAGTCGTGTTCGAGTAGAAATACACAAATGCGTTTGTTTGCCCTACAATTGGACGCTAGCAGAGTATGTATGCTTTCTCGCCACACTAAAATCAGCAATGTGTGCTCTAGCAGCACACGTTAAAGAAAATAAAGATTACATGTTTGTGGCCGAGTTGGTTGTTTAATGTAACAACTACAGAAATGAAAGAAAAAATGTTTTCTCAACTATACTTCGATGTTGTATATTTCACTGCATAAAACTTGGGGCAATAAATACAAAGTATGTTACCAGAAAGGATCACAGGTGGACAGTGGCCAAATGATATTTCTACAACAGCAGCAGCACCACATCAAATATGGGGAGATAAATTCACTACGTAATGGGGTTTTTGTACCGAGAGATTTATAATTCACCCCTCCACAAGCTGTATTAGAACCAGAGCTGGGATAATCCCAATGACTTTCCAGATGGAATGCTCATTGCTTTCAAATTGTTGGCAATTATGCACAAGCTGTGCAATTTGCAGCAGAAGACATGGTAATCTAAACCAATCAAAGCACTTTGGATATTTGCAACCAACTAATATCTTTGCATGTTCTTAAACAAAGACAAGGCTCTAATTCCTGTTCATACATAGTCCCTATATATTACAATGGAATGGTGTGCCAAAACAACCAGTATGTGCTTAAATTTGGCTTTACTTTAACCTGGCAGCGGGTATAAAGAATGCCATTGTAAACTGTGACTATCTGTATAGAAGGCACATTACTGTTGTCATGTAGTTTCATGTGGACTATGCAAATGTTATAAGATGCTGGCTTTCCCATTAAAACAGTGCAATTGTAAGTACTATATTGTATTGTTTATGAGTACGTGGGTAATATGGAAGGGTAAACTGCATCAGGATTTCTCTTTACAAATGATTTCAATGTGAACTGCAGCCATTTCAATCAGCAATAAGCCTTTTAATCTGTAAGCTATGCCCAGTGAATTATTTTGAAGTTAATGGGACATGACCCTGGTACTTATGGTCCAATTATTTTTCAAGAGGTTGCTAGGTGGCAGACATCACATGCTGCTCTGGACCCTTCTCTACCATGTGTGAGAGATTCAAATGGATAATTAGTATCCCATTGACGTGATACTGATAGCACGACTGCACAACAGAAAAGCAGTCAGCTGTTCTCCATTTTTCATTCCGAGGGTAGAAATATTCATACAATTTCTACATTTTATGACATTTGTCGATACATTTCCCTATTTACACCCTCAAAGGACAAAATCTAGTACTGTAATAACTTGCTGCAGCTCTAATCTGCGGTTATACATGGATGCCACTAGCTTTAATCAAGTAACATGTCTGCCATATAGTGGCAAATCTGACATATTGCACATGAGTAGCAGGGTCATGCCCTTTTCACAAGCAATTTCCATTGAAATAGCACTGTTTTAGATTACAAAGTTATTAAACAAAAATTTACTGTTGAAATAACATTGTTGTACTGTGGCTCTCCAGATGAATAATGTATACATTTGAATATCAAAATCCCATTATTTAATTATATTTATTCCATTGGTCATTGGTGAGGTAAAGATACAAAAATACTTCCTAATTGCCTATTTCCAGTTAGATTAAGATATTTTGAAGGTGCTGTTGGTTATAAAAATTGGTCCAGTAGTTTAAATGACAATTAAAAATACATTTTAATTTAACATAAATTTAAGTATGCATTTTGAGATTCCATAATGAAGGATTACTTAACACCTACACAAGAGTATCTAATAATTGTCTTTATTGGGGGAGGAAGAGGGTGGTTGGAGAGGGAATTAAATGTCACATCAATTTTAACATTTAAGTAGGAGAGGACCACAGGACCAGCACATGTGGAACTCGGGACTGCGGCAGCTGTGGCCGAGTGGAGACCACTGCCATCAGAAGGCCTCAGGAATGGCTCCTGCAGCTGCATTGCGCGCTGACTGCTGCACGTATGGGTTCTTCCAGGCACCAGTGGAGAACTCTTGCTGTGCCTTACCCACGCTGCCACCACCCCCACGGTAGAAGCTGTGCACCTGCCATTGTGTGCAACAAGACAAAGCATCAGGCCTGCAAATGCATTTGGTAGCTTGGTCAAGACAAGCTCAATTTTAGGGCTTTAATGATTTAACCAAAACATGGCTTTAGTGCGTGTATGACTTACATTGAAATAGTTACTCTAAAATTGTCGTTTTGTAATGTTTCTAAATATAGATTTAACCAAATAGTATTTTATACAAAGCTGCAGTTATTCATTTGTGTGCTTTTATAGTCAGAATTTGTAGTCATATTTTTTCTCATGGAAAATTAAAATGACATAAAACAAATAATCAGAGGGCAGTTTAGAAAACTCCACTGTTGTACTGGATTATATGCTTCTGACTTCTCTGCTCCCCACCTTCACAATCCAACATGACCCACATGGTGCGAGAATGCCCTCTTTCAGCAGTGGATTGATAAAATGTATGTATATATATCCATGTAGACTGATATATATACAATTTGATTCTATCCTGATTGCACTGTTGGTAGAGCACTGAAGGCAAAACTAGAGGGCTGTGACATTATATCCTGGTTCCTGCTTGGGGTGGTGACTCAACCTATCATTTTTCCAGGGTCAAAGACACGAATGCCACGTTGCTGGAAGTAAATCGTGGTTATCCTTGGGATAGAATGACCCCTGCCATGAGAATGTGGAATTGACATCGCTGCCTCAAGACCAACAGCATAGGCGAGTGCTGCTACATGTCTTTTCTGAGCGGATACTTTGACTTCTGAGATGAATTGGAAAATACTACTGTACTATAAAGCAAAATAATTTTACATATCACTCAACTATTTTTCCACACAAGTACATTTTGAAAATCATCCAAACCTACAAAATTTAATATTCACTCCAGAGGATTGTTTTTACATCATGAATAAGCATTGAGAGTACTTTAGACATATTTTTTCTTTACAAACTCTGCAGTTGTAAAATCACGATCACGATACATTTTAATAAACATACTGTTCATCAGAAGACATTAATCAAATACCTAGTGTTCAAAAATATAACTGTGTCTCACCTTAATTAGAGCTAAAAAGGAGATTACAGCCAGCCCCGTGAACATGATTGTGGGAAACAGCATCACCACTCCCACACCTATGTTGGTGCCAAAGTAGCTGATGGTAGCTATCCATCCACTGCAGGGAAAAAAAACAAATCGCAACATTATAACACAATACATTACACCAATACCCATTATGCTCTCCAGTTCATTAGTATTCTGGTCATCACTCCATATTGTGCTGTAGCTTGAATGCCAATTACTATTATGTGAGGTTAATGCTGTAAATCAGGAAAGTCACTCATTTAATTTCAAAGGTGTAATGTTAAGGTTACATAACTGTGACAGTTTTATTCTCTCTTAAACTAATGGGATATGTGTATATGTTCTCGATATGAATAGGAAAGTATCAAACATATACAGTCCTACTTTTATTTTTAAAATAAACAGTTGTGGGTATTTGTTGCATATCCTATACGAGAAAATAAATATTCAACCAGGTGAATTTAAATTGTCACCGTGGGTCATCTCTGCCATCATCTGTTTTGGGTTATTACATTCATATACCAATTTGTAGGAAATCAACAGTGGATGTCCTGTGAATAGGCTGGAACCCATGAAAGAAATCTGGAAGTTTGTAGAGACCTCAACAATTTTTTTCTCACAACAACCAAAAGCTTAAGAACATTCTACCACCTATATTTGAACAATACGTGACAAGTGGAATAATAAGCCAAATTAATGTAATGCCATAGTTTAATAATTAAGCACAGTGGGAATATTCTTCTGCATCCAATGCTGTGCAGACAAATAAAGCAAATTCCAATTATGTGAATACATTTGGACCATACAGAACACTCCTCTTATCCATGTTAATGTGGGGGAACCATATCACAGATCCTATTAATCATGGGGTTATTCTAAGATTGCACTCCTCTTATCTGGGGGGTAAAACATGAAAACTCACGGATAAAATGTATTTGCTGCACACGACTCCTTTTAACCAAGAAAACATCATGAATATAATTCGCATTTAAATAGCTGTGGGAGGTCTTTGATGTATTTCTGTGCTTCGATGTCTCTAGCTCTCTCTGTCTTTATAATGTTCACAAAAAAGTTGTGAAAAAGATGCCATTCCGCAAAGATTTATGGGAAAAGTGATGGATAATAGTTTTGTGGATGCTTCAGTTACCAGGAAAAGAGAAGTCGATGATAAGACCATGGATAAGAGGGGTTTCTCCTGTATTTGATTATTGGAAATGCATTAAATTGGTTCCATAATTTATACCGGGGTGAACATTAACTTTTCATCAATAAAAACAAATTAAATTCATAAAAACTGCATGTGGCCAACACTATTAAGGAAATTATTTAAAGTGTTGCCATAGCTTGTACTGACTAGTCACATCTAACACTGGAAATCTAAAACCCCAAACTCTCATTTTAAAAATCAGAGAAATATAAACATGCATATTAAGGGGTGCGTGGGGAGCAGTGGTACAGTGATGAGTGCACTGCACTATGAACCCAGTGATCCAAATTTGATTCCCACTCACGACCAATAACAGCGGAAGATATGAGAACCAGTCTTGGGCTTGCCCCTCGGTCAAATCAGCCTAGTGCAGTGTGTACACATCAGCACTGGGGGAACGAAGGCAGCTGGGCATGGTGCTGACCAATGACCGCACCCCGTGTGTCGTGCCGGCCTAAATAGGTGCATGCTCACAGCACTTGCTCAAACAGTCTAAGGTTAGATGGAGACTGATGGCCTAAATCTTAGTTGTCTTGTGGTTGTTGTTGTTGTTGACTTGCATCCCACTGGGATTTTTGCACACAGCGTTGGTGTACGGTGCTATTTCAGGAATATTTTGATGTTTTTTTTTCCTGGATTTTCTGTTTGCAGTGACATAATCACTTTAAGATGTTTTCTTGTTCATGTTTTTGATTTTTGTTTGTTGCGGTTGCACCCGATTCAAGAGCCGAATGGCTCACAGGGCTATACCAAATAAATGGAACTATGAACTACATGCATTACTTTTGAGATACTGTACATACACGAAAATTGGTATGCTTGTAAAGCGCAACATGTATAATAACGTGTTATTCTGAGACATTGTCTCTAACAATTACATTGGAGTTGGCATTACAAGGTACAATTACACCTGAGGCTTGTACTTGGAAAAAAATGGAGGTTAACACAAAACAACATTATAATGAGCTGCACGTTTCCTAATTACAACAAACTGTGCTGAACAAGAATACATCAATATCCCCTTGTATTGCTAATTTGCACTGCTCCAAATTAAAACATCTTTGTTGTTTAAATAATAACAATAATGCATAAATGCATTACCGTATTGTTAATAAATAATGCTAATTGTATATGCCCCAATACATGCCAATTTGCATAAACAACTTTTTTATCCTAAATACTGACAAGCACTTCTATACTTTTATGGAAGTGGGATAATTTAGATTTTTAAATAAGCAACATAATTAACACAAATGGTTGTTATTCATTCACTCTCAGTATTACAATGAAATACATTATTTAAAAAAATGTTGGTGCCATTTCAACCAAAACAATCTCACAACCAAACAGTGCCAAGGGGTTGAACATAATTACCATCATTTAACGAGCATACAAAAATAAGATTTCGTTCTAAACTACATTCTGAGCGAAGTAAAACAAATATTTCACGCGATTATTTTTTTTTTATCACTAGTCATAAATCTGTGAAGTGTATCATCTCGGCCAATCTTAATAACACTGCTCGTATGCTCATTAGTGATAACTTATGGTTGACCCCAGAGCTCAGGTCATGCACACCACACCACACTGCAAAGTGGCCTAGGACCTCACCCGCACATATACTTTACCAATAGCCACATCCATTTAGTACCAGTATGCTCAGGAAGAAAGCATCGGCCATCCTCGTTTGCTTGAGTGGAAAAATAAGTTACCGTCTTCGTTTCAATAAACACACGAATGCAGCCCTCAGGTAACAAATGTCCTCATCATAATACTACTGAGCCTACAATTCTGAAATCCAGAAATGAAATTTCGCAATGGCACTAGTGGTAGAATGATTAATCTCTCTGGCAATGTATGGGATGGTAACGATTCAGGGATCAGATTGAATTTAATAATGTACTGTACATTGCACAATTATGGCGAATGGTAGGACCTCTAGTGGCAGCAGATCTCACGTGAACATATATATAAATAAGAGCTTAATCTGTATGTCTCAAAAACCTCAAGGGTACTACTCCTGACAAGGTAGGAAGCTGAAATGTGGGTACATAGGTAGCTTTTTGGACGCAAACAACAAGAACATCTGAAAATCGAGGATTTTTCATTTTAAGGCCCCCAAATCTCGATTTGAATTTCCCCATAAACATGTTTGTGCGTGAGAATAGGTTTTCCCCTTTTTACTGGCATGTGTCGTTCAGAAACTGTTAAAAATATAAGATTGCGTTTTTTGCATTTTATCGAGCATTAAATAGCAAATAAAATTAATCAAGAACCATTGTTGTATCTTAGTTAAATCAAGAACCATTGTTCCATCTTTTATTATTTTTTTAGATATTTCGGATTAAAGCTGTTTTAAACAAAAAAATACACATTTTATGGTGTTCAAATCTGAATAATTTGAAAACGGTAAAAAATAGGAGCTTCCCCTCAGAGTATTAAGTTAATTATTTTTTGTTCTTTCTCATAAAAAAAGAACGGCATCTTTAAATTCAGTGGCTTCCGATGGGTACGTCTTTAAATATAATTTGGAGTAGTTCGTGTCTGATCGTAGATAAAAATGGAAAAAAAAATATCAAGTTAATTATATTAATTGAAAACTTTTGCCTGGCAGCAGAGGTGTTGCTCCAAATCAGTATTTTTATGAGTTGCATAACACTGTGTGAAAGCTACCAACCACAGTTATGCCCTCCCTTCTCTAAACGTTTAACATGGCCTCAAAGTGCATCTTAGCCTGACACAAGCACGATGGTAATATCACCACCACTCCTTGGCAAAGGGAAGTTGTTTTAAGGCTAGCCAGTCAAATTGTTTAAGTAACAGATTTATAGCCAAAGTAATTGGAAGTAAACATAAGCTTATACATACATAATTTTTCATATGAGTTATACAAACTATGCTGGCTGGCCTTTTCAGCTTGCCAGATCAGGTGAGCATAGGTTTTACTGAGTTTACACACAAGTGCTGCTATTACACACTCACACTGGCTTTTGTATTTTAAATAAATCCAAAATGCATGATAAACTGGTGCAATGAAGCCATATAATATCTGGTAAAATAAACAAAACCTCTTCTGACATTAAAAAATAAGTATTGACCCAATGTATCAGGGTTGGAAATGTTATATGAACCACGAATGTCCCTGAAAAATGAGAAATGAATGCTGCCTTACCATACTCCCCAACCAGGGATGCCCACTGCCTGGATGATGTTCAGTACCACTTGCCCGGAGAAGGTGAAGAAGAACAGCATGTAGTTGAAAGAGCTGTCACTCCTAAAAAAATCAACCAGACATTTAAAATATTGACATATTAAGGCAACTTCAATTACTGATTGAAAGCTTTCGTGACTGCAGGGATTCATATTATTGGTTCTACGTGACTTTACCGAAAGAACCAAGTATATATATAAAACTACAATTACTGTTCAGGGTAAAAAAAAAACGATAATTGAGTCAAGGTTGCCTGAGGGGTCATAGCATTGAACTGACAATGCTGAGATCTTGGGTTCAAATCTGGCAAGTCGACTGTAATTAAATAAGGGTCTCAAGTGTAGCAATTTGTCAGTCTCATCCCATTAATAAACGACTGCACACAAAACAAACAAACAACCAATAACATATAACTGAATTTTGATTTAAAGCTTTCGTGACTGCAGGGATTCATATTCTTGCTTTATAGTTTGCCTTCGTATCCGCATCGCCAGTTTCTTCAGCCTCCTACCCTCCAGTCCCGCTCACTTCCCAGCCCCGGCATTGTGTTGAGCTCGGGTTGGAGCTTGCACTTCACCACTGCCCCTACCCCACACCCCCACCATCTCTCCTCCCTGCCTCCTCCACCCCCCCTCTTACGTATATATAGCCTCGTGTCACAAGCAGCCTCCTTTTGCCCATTTCAGCAATTTGTTTATTGCTGGGGTTGTTTCCACAACTGATGACGGGCACTTGTGTTGCGCCCTAAACGCCGTGATTTCATTTATTTTATACCTACGTGACTTTACCGAAAGAACCAAAGAGTATGGATTCCTGCAGTCACGGAAACTTCAAATCTAGATCAATTACATATTTACAGATGTTTTTGCTTAATTGCCAAAATTCAAGCTCTGAAAATAAAAAAAAATATTAAATTTATATTTGACTTCCAAATTCTTCTTGAATAAGGCACACACTGAGTGCATCACCTTCAAGTGTGGACAAGTGGTGAATTGAATGAAGCAACGATATTACCATCCGCAGGCCGTTCTCTAACAGATTCATGCACTACTCTGGGAGAGTTTACAATGGACACGTCTTACGCCATGGCACTGAGAGCACAATTGAAATACAGTTCGAAAAAATAACAAACAATGTAAAAGGGTTTAATTTACAGTTTTTTTCTTGTGTGTATAGAGAGTATGGCATCCAAGGAAGACTTTTATCAGGGAAAAATACGTTATGTCATAAGCCACAAATGTACATGTCAGTCCTGATAATTATATTTTGAGGCTACAGTATAGGAAAATGTCAGATTGAATAAAGTATAAATATAATTAATATAAATGTCTTAAGTGTCATGAATACAATATATCGCATTAATATAATTTATTTAGTAACTATACCGCATTCTACACTGTAAAAAAAGATTAAAAAGTGAATAAAAACCACCAAATCTATATAAAATGTGTACATCCATTGCATTGAACCAATGATGGTTTAAGTCTGAACTTGCATTGGTGTTGTATTGATGCAGCTGGGTTGTGCTGTGATAAAGTGCTTGAATAACAATCAGAAAGTTTTGGAATAAAAACCTGGGTGCAGGTCAACTTTGCTCATCATCTCTTCACAGTGGATAAAATAAAAGTACTAGTTTGTGGAATCTGGCCCTAATCATAGAAATATTGAATTTCCACCATGAACTCAGAACTACCAAAGGAGATTAACAATACCCAAGTCCCATTTAAGAAGAGCAACACACCGTGTTTGTAACGAGGGTCTAAATTGTGAAGTTAAACTGTTTCACCTGAAGCCTTTGTAGACAGCTCTAAACCAGCACACGTAGGAGCAGGGAGTGAAAAGGATCAGCCACAGGATGGCCAGTCCGAAGTTGACTGCACTCCCTCCACCGATTAGCCAAGCCAGACATCCAATCAAATTCACCACCAGGGTAATACCATGCACTAGAGGAAACAACAGAGAAGAGCTTTAAAGACATAGCATAGTTTGTACAGTGGCTATTTTGTAAGCTTTGATGTTCAGATATATGTACAGTGAGGGAAAAAAGTATTTGATCTCCTGCTGATTTTGTACGTTTGCCCACTCACAAAGAAATGATCAGTCTATAATTTTAATCGTAGGTTTATTTGAACAGTGAGAGACAGAATAACAAATAAATCCAGAAAAACGCATGTCAAAAACGTTATGAATTGATTTGCTTTTAATGAGGGAAATAAGTATTTGACCCCTCTGCAAAACATGACTTAGTACTTGGTGGCAAAATCCTTGTTGGCAATCACGGAGGTCAGACGTTTCTTGTAGTTGGCCACCAGGTTTGCACACATCTAAGGAGGGATTTTGTCCCACTCCTCTTTGCAGATCTTCTCCAAGTCATTAAGGTTTTGAGGCTGACATTTGGCAACTCGAACCTTCAGCTCCCTACACAGATTTTCTATGGGATTAAGGTCTGGAGACTGGCTAGGCCACTCCAGGACCTTAATGTGCTTCTTCTTGAGCCACTCCTTTGTTGCCTTGGCCGTGTGTTTTGAAAAACGCATGTCAAAAATGTTATAAATTGATTTGCATTTTAATGAGGGAAATAAGTATTTGACCCCCTCTCAATCAGAAAGATTTCTGGCTCTCAGGTGTCTTTTATACAGGTAATGAGCTGAGATTAGGAGCACACTCTTAAAGGGAGTGCTCCTAATCTCAGCTTGTTACCTGTATAAAAGACACCTGTCCACAGAAGCAATAAATCAATCAGATTCCAAACCCTCCACCATGGCCAAGACCAAAGAGCTCTCCAAGAATGTCAGGGACAAGATTGTAGACCTACACAAGGCTGGAATGGGCTACAACAACCATTGCCAAGCAGCTTGGTGAGAAGGTGACAACAGTTGGTGCGATTATTCGCAAATGGAAGAAACACAAAAGAACTGTCAATCTCCCTCGGCCTGGGGCTCCATGCAAGATCTCACCTCGTGGAGTTGCAATGATCATGAGAACGGTGAGGAATCGGCCCAGAACTACAAGGGAGGATCTTGTCAATGACCTCAAGGCAGCTGGGACCATAGTCACCAAGAAAACAATTGGTAACACACTGCGCCATGAAGGACTGAAATCCTGCAGCGCCTGCAAGGTCCCCCTGCTCAAGAAAGCACATATACATGCCCGTCTGAAGTTTGCCAATGAACATCTGAATGATTCAGAGGACAACTGGGTGAAAGTGCTGTGGTCAGATGAGACCAAAACGGAGCTCTTTGGCATCAACTCAACTCGCCGTGTTTGGAAGAGGAGGAATGCTGCCTATGACCCCAAGAACACCATCCCCACCGTCAAACATGGAGGTGGAAACATTATGCTTTGGGGGTGTTTTTCTGCTAAGGGGACAGGACAACTTCACCGCATCAAAGGGACGATGGACGGGGCCATGTACCATCAAATCTTGGGCGAGAACCTCCTTCCCTCAGCCAGGGCATTGAAAATGGGTTGTGGATAGGTATTCCAGCATGACAATGACCCAAAACACACGGCCAAGGCAACAAAGGAGTGGCTCAAGAAGAAGCACATTAAGGTCCTGGAGTGGCCTAGCCAGTCTCCAGAACTTAATCCCATAGAAAATCTGTGGAGGGAGCTGAAGGTTCCAGTTGCCAAACGTCAGCCTCGAAACCTTAATGACTTGGAGAAGATCTGCAAAGAGGAGTGGGACAAAATCCCTCCTGAGATGTGTGCAAACCTGGTGGCCAACTACAAGAAACGTCTGACCTCTGTGATTGCCAACAAGGGTTTTGCCACCAAGTACTAAGTCATGTTTTGCAGAGGGGTCAAATACTTATTTCCCTCATTAAAATGCAAATCAATTTATAACATTTTTGACATGCGTTTTTCTGGATTTTTTTGTTGTTATTCTGTCTCTCACTGTTCAAATAAACCTACCATTAAAATTATAGACTGATCATTTCTTTGTCAGTGGCCAAACGTACAAAATCAGCAGGGGATCAAATACTTTTTCCCTCACTGTAGTGGTTGAAGTATTATAAAGGGCATCAGATGGAGGTGTCAAGTTGACATGCAATGTTTGAAATATAGGGGTCCACCACAACATATAAGCATGTATCCTATAGGTAACATTGTGATGTTCAGGGCGAAGTACTAGAATCGCTACATTGCAGCACACGTAGGGGTCTCAGGTGGAAGGCATCACGTTAACATTGGTTGCTTTGACAGCTTCACCAGTGCTGAGGGAATGTTAGATACATGGGGCTCTTATTCACCTACCCTGACATCATTGTACGTGGGTAGAGAAGGTAATTCAACACAAATCTGTTTTGTACGATAATGTGGACCAGGTAGCACCCAAGTGCTTTAGGGTATTGGTATCAACCAGATAGAGCAGATATGTTTCTACCAGACCTCTGTTCTGTCAGATGCAAATTCCTTCAAGCACCATTCCTCCACCCACCCTTGTCGTGGAATTACAGATGATGTAGTACAATAATCTTTCTTCCAAACACTTGGGTCACCACTTACAGTAGGTGTGGGCAAATAAGAGCATGAGAGGGATACTACCATTTTGGGAATCATATGGTTGTAGTGCCTTACTGTGTGACTGAGGTAGTGTAAACACACCCTTTACAAAACAATAAACATTCACCAGTGGACTGCTCTCAGGACAACTGTTCAGCTGAAGGATTCGAGATCACAACACCACTTACTGATCCACAGGTAGTACAGCCGTTTGACAGACAGTCTGTGTGGCTCAGGGATATCCTCATTGAAGTCTTGATAAAAGCATGGCTTCAAGCGCACAAACTTTGGCAGTGGAGGAAAGTTGTTCACCCGGTCTAGATGGAGCACAGTTTTAATGGTCATGTAAAATGGGGTTAGATTGCAAAATCAAGTCAAAGTTTGTAGCCTGCACAGATGAAATGTCTGGTTTCACAGTGGAAAAAAATATCAATAAAAATAAAAGTGAAGATATTTCCTCATTACACTTCCAATTATAAATAAGTAACTACCACAGTGGTTGGCCAATGAAGTATGTACATGCTGATGTTCATAGCTGGGTCTCCAGAAAGCACCTTTGTTCAAATTTGAATGTGTGTTATGGATTGTACATTTATAATATTAATGTATATGGTTACAAATATGAATGTATAGGAGTACAAATATTTCCTTGAAGCAGAAAACTGTAGGACCTCCTCTTAATTTATCTAAAGTAACAATGATATAGGATGAGGGTATGCAAGCAAAAGTATTCATATATTATTTATGTTATCATAAATGTAAGTAATTACGATATAAAATAAACTGGACAACTTCTTTGTATCTTTGTAAAATTGTTTAATCATGGCCACATCTAAAATATGCGATGTGGTTAGGTTATCAGTCAAATAAAGAGGTAGCAATTTATACTGTCTATTATTTCAAACTCATCACAATATATTTGGTCCCATTACTTCACGGACAGAACTATTGTCTGATCAGCTATTTTAATATTAATTCCCCTGTGAAGTCAGCTGTTTTTGAAGTGAAACACATATCAAACCATTCCATGCAATGATTTACAGAAATAGACCTAGACCAGGGCCCTGTTTGAGAATGTCTATTTGAGTGGTTCTCAACACGTGCCCCGCAGACCACTGCCATCTGCAAGGCGGTGGGAAGTGGTCCACGAAACTGTTGCAAACATTTTTTCACAAAACATCAGATATTTGACTGACCGTTGTACAACTATTTATACCAGTCAATAAAACAGTAAGTTAGTTATTTTAATATACAAAGAAAGTTATTTACATTTTACAGAGCTTTTCAAGTAGTTTTAATTTTTTAAAAATATGTTATTGGTGGTGCACGGTGGTCTGCAACTTTTTTTGTAAGGCTTGACAGTGATCCATGGGTCCAGACACATTGGAAGCCACTGCTATAAAGCCTAGGCCACGAATACAGAAGGTCGATGTTTACCTTGTCATAAATTCACCTACATTGAAAATTTCTTTAAATCTACCTCAGCTAAACTAATATACAAGCATCATACACATGCAATTTTGGATCTCCATTCCAAGTTTGATCTGGAAAGCAGCACTTTAACACAAACTGCACACAAAAACAAATGTCTTCACCTGAAAATGTGGCCTATTGCAGTGCATAATTTTATTATTAAAGGTACGAGGCAATCTTCCCTCATTTGACATACATGTAGATTAAGTCAGATACATGGTCTGTTGTACCATATTTTCACAAGTAAAAAAACACATATTATTAATAATTCACGTTTTTTTATGAGAAAAGGTCGCATTTTGCTGTAATTGCTGTTTTATGATGACCAATATGATTGATGAAAATAATCTGGAAGTTAGTATTGAATAGACATTATATTAAAGGCATTATATGTAAAACAAAATCAATAGAATTTCACAATAGGCAATTTTAAGATACTGGAACTCAAAACCCAGCATTAATGTGAGTGTTATGGAACCCGATACATCACAGCTGACAAAAAACATCCTCACCTGTCATGATGATCTCATAACCTGGTTACACCCAAAGTAGAAACGGTTGCAGCAAGGTTATACCTATAAAAAGACACACATTTCAGTTTGGTCATTGTTTAGTTGGCTGACACATGTACCTTCACCTATGCAATGAAAAGATCTATATTATAAGCCATGCAGTAAAGGTATCCCTCGATGTCCAAACGTTCGGTTTACAAAATTTAGCGTTCATGCAAATATCAAATTATGGACACTTTTTGATTAACGAAATCGAAATTCCGTACGAACAAAATATCACGTGGCACGCACCAAGAGATCAAACAAGAAGCACCCAGAAGGCTGCATCATCCATCCGCGACAGTGTCACAATATCCCTACAGTGCAACAGTAACACCTCCACATCACCTTTCCAGTCATTCTAACATTCGGATCTTTTGGTGAGCTCCCTGAAAAGGTTTAATTATTTTTGCCATTAATTAATCATTATTCAACCGTATTAATATTTATGTTCTTTATTATTATTTTTCATTTGTGAACAGCGATATAGGTGCATAGTTCTAGGTTAGCAGTAGGAGTTGTTGGAATGACTGTCAAAAACACATCCCTAATTTTAGGATTTAAATGACTGAGAAAAGCCATTCTTGACTTACGACATTTTATTTTACGTGTGTTTTTTGAAGAACACATCGCAAATCGAGGAATACTTGTATCTGCAAATGCCTCTAAAGGCTACAGAACATGTATACAGCAATCAGCTGTATGTACTTCCAATCTTTTCAACCTTCCAAACGATATCCTGTACCATGGAAGCTTGTTCTAGAATCAGATGCGTAGGCAGCCAGATTTTATAAGTGGTCAAAGATACTCAAGACTTATGATATAAAACTTTTTACCCGTGGCACACCATGGAAAGTGGAGTACAGTCAGTTACGCTAAAGGGCAAACATGGAGCAAGATCACTGGGAAAGGGATGCCAGGATATAACTCCCTAAGAGAGACCAAGAGGGCATGGCTTAAGATGAACAGCAGGGAGAAAGGAGCGCCCGGGCAGGAAAAGGAGGAGGAGAGAGAATAATTGGCCCAAGATGTCAGGGATGAGAGATATAGAAGGAGCAAGCAAAAGTGACCTTCCCCGAGCAACGCCTTTACACAGGGGTGGGGAGAGGGGAGGGATTCAGAGAGGGGGTGGCCACACATAATCCACATGATTTATGGGAGGCTTTAGCCAGTTAAGATGTATATATTATCAACAGCATCAACTACTTGTGATCAAGCCATCTTGATGCTGTAGATAATAATTGATAATGGAGACTGGTATATGATCTTGTTAGGACACAGTCCTAACAAGATCATACACTGTGACTGAAGTGGAAATGGCCCTCAGGCACAGCAAGTCCAACAAGGCAATAGGATATGATGGCCTCTGTCCTGAGTTCCAAAAGAACCTGGGACTCTATGGACAACAATGGCTTGCAAATCTCTTCACCGTCATACGCGGGACAGGCATAATCCCAAAAGAAGCCAAAGTCATCACCATTCTAAAACCCGGAAAGCCTCAAGACTCGCCCTCCAGCTCCAAGCCAATATCCCTGTTGTTCTTCACCTCCAAGCTGATGGAACTTATTAGCAATTGGTGATCTGTACCTCAAAAAATTTGGCGGGAATGGTCAAATCCACAGTGGGAGAACCCGTGATGGCCGAAGTTTGAGCGTACATCAAGCAGTAGATTGACCACGGGTGTTAGCACACTACACTTAAAAACTGGCACCCCATATTCAATTCAACATCAGTGGTGATTATCTGAACCGGTACAGGATCTCCCCTATGTCGACTTGGGCTTAAATGAGCACCTGGTATGGTGTATAAAAACCAGCAATGGGGAGACAAAGGTGGCCAGGTGCCTCTGTGTCTGTCTCTTTGTATGTGTCTCTGTGTCTCCCTGTCTTTGTACGCGTCTCCGTGTAAGTTTATGTGTCTCCGTGTCTGTTTGTTTGTCTGTGTCTCTGTCTTAGTGTCTCCATGTCTGTGTGTGCGTGCTTTTGTCACCATGTATGTGTGTTGTCTTGTGCAGTGTAGTCAAAACAAGTGCTGCCCGTGCATTTGCTTGGATCATTGTGTATTTTTTAAAGTAATAAAATGTTTCATGGATAACCTGCAAATAATAGGATGTATTTGCCGTGCCACTCCTGTGGAAAGTTCAACAGGTAATAGAAGTTTCCACGGATCCAATAGCTGTCGCTGATAATGGAAGTCGCAGATAACAGGGCCACGGATAAGAGGAGTTGTATGTGTAGCGCCGTAGATGGAGCGGTACCTCGTACCGCCAGGGGAGGGGCTGCAGTGCCAGCCCAAGAGGGGAGGGGCTGCTGGGGGCTCAGGACCCCAGACAGCTAAGCCCCTCGGCGCTCCCAACGGGGGGGGGGGGCTGCGGGGGTTCTGGGATCCCACGCAGCCCCACCCCTCGATGGGCAAGGGGCATAAAAGAGGACCTCCCCAGCCGATCTGGCCCAGTTGAAGACCGAAGCCGAAGACCAGCTAGATAGGACCCTGAGACCCCTAGACCCGTTGTCCTTATCAGGGCCAGGACTCTGTGCGGCTCAGTGGTGAGACCCTGGGAACCCCTGGCCCGACGTCCTTGTAAGGGCCGGGTCCAGTGGGTCAGTGGTCGGAACTCGCACCCTGGCTAGGGCGAGTTAGAATAGCCTCCCCCTAGGCACCCATAGCCGGAGGACCCTGAGTGTAGTCCTGTGTTAGGGCACGTTAGCCTGGAGGCAGTACCTCCCCAGACAGTAGCTGTAGGAGGACAGTAACCCTGAGTGTTCTGGGACTGTACTGCCGAGCGAGGTGTTTTAATAAATAGTGTTGCCTCCAAGAACCGTCTCCGACGCATCCTGAATCCACAACACTACATATGCACATGTCTCTATCCGTGCCTAATTGGGTGCAGCTATTTTACCTTTTAGTCTTGTGTCAGCTGTCGAGTACTAAGCTCTGTGTGCAAGTTTTCTCCCAGAGTCGCTGAAGGACCACGGCTACTCTAGCGTCATAGGTAAATTGGACGAGGTATCAAGGCCATTTTTACGTTCATCACCCCAGCTACAGAGACTACTGTATATATTTTTTTAATGTTTGAATTACTAAAAACTGATAACTAAATACTTTTTTTCATTATGGAGCAAAATATTAAATTGGGTTAGGTTTTCAGTTTTCGTTCAAATAAATAAGCAGTTAATTCCGATTTTATTCTCTGGTTTTGAGTTCCATTCCAGTCTGGCTAGATGGTCTATCACGTCTCAGGTACATGAGAGATGCAGCCATGTTTAGGAGGCATTCAATACGAAAATATTGTAATTAATAGGACAAGAGAAAACATAACAAACACTAAAACAGCCATTAAAAAATAAGGCAGATGAGTGGAAATTTCCATTTGCAGGTTGGACCTATTTTTGGCACGAAAATTAGCTCAATGCACAAACTACAAAAGTGCAAACATGTGCAACCACCAAGGGAAAATGATGACAGTACAGTGAACTAGCTAAGGGGTGAGACATTACCAGCAATTAGTTTTAAATGGAACTACCATATATAACAAATAATTATTACACACTTAAGCCAGACACATTTAAAAAATGATCATTATCATCAATGATAATTATCATTTGTTTAAATGTGCCTGGTTATAGTTTATAACCTAGTCATACTGTAAATGTGTTTACAGCAGCGTAATAGTATTTTATTATTGAAAAGCTCCAAGAGGTTCAATTGGGTCCATTGTCCTGTCTATACCTTTCACCTCCAAGGGGCAAGTGGTGAATCAGTGCAAATGAATAATGAAAATACTTTCATTACAGTGCTTTTCAAATAATGAATCATTCCTACACGAATAATCTACAAAGTTAAGTATTCAGGCCCCTCTCCAACACTACCGATTTCAAGAAGAACCCACGAAGCTCCAAAACACAACCTTCTAGTATCCTATATTAGATGTTAGGATACTTAAAACAGTCATAGGGTGCTTTTTCTTTCCAAGAGAACAATTCATCAATGAAAAGTTCTAAATGTTGAGTTGTGATGGCATGCATTGCACATTTGCTCATGCTGTAGGCCAATCTGGATATAATTTGGATATTAATTTGCCATTTCCAACCTCTCCCATATCATCTTCATCTACTCCCCTTTCTGTGCCCCCTGCTCCAGCAACCAAGCTCTTTCTGTCGATATCGATATCCACTAACTCCCTTTCTTATGTTTCTTTATCACTCCCGCTGTTTAAAATCCCTCTTCCTCATACCTGAATTCATCTCCCTGTTCAAGGCCAGACCTAAGACATGCATCTTCTCCTCCGCCTCTGTATCCAGAAGTGTAATTTGCCACTCGTTTCTATTCTCTCTCCCAGCCACATGTCTCTTAACCCACCTACAAAACAACCATTGTCATCGCTAAGATCCCTTTCCCTGATCACAACTACCCTCCTTCCAAGCAATCATGATTCACATGGCAACGCTGCTTGTAGAGCATCTTGAGAGTCATAGAGATGTTTTATGAATCATACTGTTTTGTAAATAGGTTACAAAAATCAGTGCAATATTTGTAATGACTTTTTTTTAAAACAGAAACAGTCTACTAACTAGCATGTGCTAGTTACTGAAATTACATAAGACAACATTTAGCACAATAAGATTTCCAAAACCTCACAAGGAAGGTGACTTATTTATAATATGGCTCAAAATGCGTTGGTTATCAGTGTTTCAGATCTGCTCCCATCTGTGAAGGATGTGATCCCTGAACTGCAATACCCCGGCGTCTACATACTAAGTTGTGTCTGCAGCAGTAGTTACATTGGGGAAACTAAGCGAAATGTCTTGGACCGTATTCGTAAACATAAGGCAGATCTGAAACACGGTAGGACCAATACCGCAGCCGTGGCTGATCATTGTTTTAATGCGGTGGGCTCACACGAAATTGATTTCTCCAAGACGAAGGTACTCTGCAAGCCCACTGGCTATCAACAAAGAATCGTTATGAAGCCATCCAGATATATAAACACAGACACAATTTCAACCGAGAAGATGGGTACAAAC